AATCTAATGTTCAGGAAAGATTGAGAACTGTTGCTGTCCTAAAAAAATATGATACACTTGTGTTTTGGAATGTTCATGCTACATAATTTGTGATAGCAAAATAGTGGGAAAAAATAATATCTCCCAACAGTAGAATGAAAAATCACATTTGCAGGTATTTTTATGAAACAATATTACATAGAAATAAAAAGGAATTTGCAAGCTATAAATCACACTATGGCTTCATTTAAGAATAATAAATTTGCAAAAAAGCAAATGCAATCCCACTTATATAAAACTTGAGAATTTGAAAGTTTAAAAAAATTATTGATTAGAGTTTTAAAATGTGGTAAAATGTTATTTTGAATTGAATGCAAAATAAACTTATTCTTGATGGTTACATTTATAATATAGATTATAAATTTTCTTTGGTGATTGTTAATCCTTTATGAAAAAAACAATTCTTCAAAAAGGCAGTAGAAATTATCCTGTTGAGGAAAGATGGTTGAGTATTCAAGAAAGGTTAAATAATTTGTCCTCTATATAACCCTTACTGCACAGAATAGGTTGCAGATCTGAGACCAAGGTCATCTCCCACTGGGGCTTCACTTTGCCATAGGAGGCCATTAATTCAGATTACTGCAAGAGATGTGCAAGTTAGCCGATCCTCACAACCAGATAAATTGATGTACTAGCAACAAAAGTGCCATGACTGATATTGAAGAAGCATGATGTATTATGTGGTGAGTATGAATTAATAAAAAGAAATGGGATATTACCTGCAGCCACTGAAAAGATCCTCAGCCTTATTTATAATAAAAATATAAATTAAAATGAAAAATTTCTAAGAATGTAATGAGGACAAATGTTTTTTTTTTTTTTCCAATTTCTACCAAAGGTAAAAATGCAAAAAGAAAATTTTGTGGTCTACTAAGCCTAATGATTGAAACCTATTCTAATGAATTGCCAGCCAAAATGTGCAATAACATTTATGATAGCAATTTCTGTATTACATAATTGCATGCAGCCTTAATGTCCACATTAATAGGAGATTAATCAACAATTGTGGTATAGCTCTCTTATAGGATACTATGCAGTTTTTTTAAAAGAACTAAGCCATTATATATTTACATATTTTGAAATGGATGTACTGCTTAATTTTAAATTTAAAAAACAAACTGTAAGACAAAATACATACCTTACTTACATAAAAAATGGTGTGCGTGTGTGTGTGTGTGTGTGTGTGTGTGTGTGTGTGTGATGTGTTCAAGGGTTTACAAAGTATTCAAGGTATGGATGAATTACAAACAAAAGTTCAAAGAATATATAGCAATCTTTCTAACATTAATGATCTGAAGAATAGGATTGTAAGAAGAATACATATTTATTTCTGTAGTCTTTAAAGTTTAAACTTAGGTCACATTTGGATTGTATGCTTTCCATTCCCTTAGTATTAATGAGGGCTAGATTTCTTTTTGTAAATTTTCCTAACAGAAGGAGCTGAGGTTTTTAGGCAGAGAGGTGATATTTCCATATTTATTCCATATCTATTCCTTAATGACATATATTCCTATACGAAAAAAACAGTTTCATGCAAGGTAAAAAGAGAATATTCCTCTCAGCTTGAAGTTCACCCTCCCTACTCATTAATAGAACCGGGAAAACCATGATGGATCCACCAGCCCTTCGGTGGTCCTCTTCCTTGTCCCTCCTCTCTATCAGCTCTGTTCACTCTGTGCTGTAGAAATGACAGAAGAGTAAGTCTGTTTTGAATGTAAATGTTAGCTGATGAGTGAAGGCTGGAGGCAGAACACAGGTTGCTCAGGAGCCTCTCCTCCTCAGTCTAGTTCTGCACAAAGAAATAGACCAGGCTCTTAAGTGTGTGTCCACAGCTTATTTCTGAGAACAGAGCTACCTTTTCTGATTGACAAGGCTTTGGAGCAGAATGGTCAGACATGAGCTTGATTGTTTTACTATTTCATAAGCAAGAGAATGTAATGGGCCCCAAGTAAGCCAGCCAGGGTTAGGGTTAGGGCAAGCCATGTATCTCTTCCCTGTCTAAGAAGTCAGTTGTGTCTAGCTCATGGAATTTTTAAGTGAGAATGTGTGATTAATATTGAAAATGTGACAAAATTTATACACTCAGTAAATGCAAGCTACTCTACCATTAGTTATAATTCTTATAACATTCTGAATTTGATACATCGATGTAGATTATTTCCAGACAACTTTTTACTCAAAGCAAGTGTTTGTCAAACTTCAGATAGCAACACATTTGTGAATCACAGAATCAATTCCAAAGGTAATGGTCAATATTGAAAAAAAAATAGAATAAATAACGTCTAAGAAATATGGTCCATTGTTCACAAAAGCTAATGTGAAATGTATTGCTCACTGAGGCCTAATGCAAAAGAGTTTCAGAAACAACGCTTCTAGGTTAAACACATGTGACAAACTGAAAATACCCCTAGGTCCTGTGTCACTCCATTCTGCTCCTTTTGAGAAAACTATGCAGAAGTTCAAGAGTCTTGGAAATATGCTGTAAAAATGAATTTTCTTGAAAAATGCAAGGGAGTGTGAGTCTGATAAGGGACATCCGGAGCAATGATTTCCTTCAAAGACTTCCTTGTGCCACTTCTGTTATATTTGGGGCAGGGAACAAAGTTTTGTTAGAACTAGTTAGGCCTAATGGCTGGTTTTGGATTTTGTTTGAATCTTTTCCTATTAATTCAATACCAAGAACTGTGACTGAAGGCCTTTAAAGTTTCTAAAGTTCTGTATCCCTGTCACTTGAAACTCCTAGTATCAACAGGTAAAAGTAAAAGAGAAAACTTCCTGATATATAGTTTTACTAGGTGAATTTAAAAAAACAGTGAAATAGGTTTTTAGTTTTTATTTTTCCAAAATATTCTCATAGTTATTCAATGTTTATGGCTTCTAAATTTCCATTTATATGGCCTCTCCATAAATATTTTTGCTCCATAAAGTATTAGCCAAACACTATGAAAATCAAATTAAATTATTAAAATATATATGGGAGAAAAGTAGATTTTGAAATAGAAGTATGATTCTTAGACTATCAGTTTTAGAGAACTTATGTTGATTCTTAGACTATCAGTTTTAGAGAACTTATGTTTTAGAATTGAGTTATTTACTAATATCAAGGCTGTACATATTTTCATACACATTAATATGTCCACCAACAAGTAACCATATATATATATATATATATATATATAAATATATATATGTGTGTATATATACATATATGTACATGTTCACATTCTTAGGTTCTTTCTATAAGATTCATAGAAACGATACCTCTTGGCATATATATATATATATATATATATATATATATATATATATATAAATTAAACCTATATATATATTGGTTTAATTTATTTAGGCACTTGATATGTGATTTTATGAGCCATTCATTATAAATACTTTTAGTTTAAATAGGATTAGTGTTAATCAGACATTATTAAGAAAATATGACAACATGTACAACACTGTACTACTCTTTAAATCATGATTTCAGTTGAAATATGTCCATCATGGTAAATATAGAAATTGCAGCTAAGTCACAGAAAACACTGTTAGGAAATAAAAGCATACACTGAATTCATGTGTCCATTAGCTAATATATATCACATTGATCATTGTGTATCTTCTAAGTATCTACAAAGAAAAATAGAAAAAAATCAAAAGTTGTGTGGGTCTGTATATATGTATAGACATAGATATATACCTGTATCTGTCAATTTCCAATAAATATAAAGATTTGGTTTGCTATAAAACAAGATACATTTATTATTTTCTTCTGAAAATAGCACTTGCAGGTTTGCTAGTTACAATCAGGGTCCCTGGTGCCTACAGAGGACTTAGACCTGGAGGTTGATAGGGACTAAACTTGAAGATGGATATAGGAGAGGCTTTGAATTAGTACATGTTCACATTCTTAGGTTCTTTCTATAAGATTCATAGAAACGATACCTCTTGGCCATTTGTTTACTTTGAGAATCTGAGCAAATTATTTAAATTCATAAATTTCAATTTACATTATTTCCAAATTGGAATAAACAATCATTTCAGAAAATATTGTTTGTTACCTTAACACTAGAGTTGATCAGCAGAAATGTTAAAGACCAAAGGGAGGAACAAAATTAAACTGAAAGATAAATAAATACATTGTATATAGACTGGGACAGCCCTATACAATACACTGTTAAATTAATGACCCTCTATGAATCCTTCCTTGAATACCCATATCTTTGTGTAATAACCTTCCATAGAGGCCCTGAGGTTGGCCTTGTGACTTGCTTGGCTTCATGGAATATTTAAAATATGACAACAGCAGACACTTGATAAATTCCAGCACATTGGATCTTAGCTACTAGAAATTTTGCTGCCAGCATGAAAAAGTCCAATACATTACTGCTGAAGAGGTCCTCTATAGAAGAACCATGCCACATCAGCCAATGATGCTTGCTAAACACCATCTGGGACTGTGGAGCCTCAGTAGATTAACAGATGGCTGAGGCTACATGAGTAACCCAGACAAAACTGTCAGAAGATTTCAACAGTAGATCCAAGCCCAATCTGCAGAATTGTAATCAAATAAATATTGTTGTAAGCCAATATTTTGAGCTGTTTTATTACTTAGTTTATAAATAAATAGTTTTATTTTATGCCAATATTTTGAGCTGGTTTATAACTTTGCACAAGTCAAACCTTTTATGCTTTTGGTATTGAATTCAAAAATGATAACTAGGAGTGAACTATTTCATAAAACATAAAAATTGCCATTTTCTGAAAAGTGAGTAAAATAGCAAATACAGAAATCTTAATCAGAAAATAGATTTTAAAAGTGAATAGCAAACATAAATTGTCTTTGTGAACAATTTTTTTGAGCAGGATTACCATTATGCACTGCATAGTGAAAAAAAGAGATAGATAAATAGAAGATATAAAGAAAGAAAGAATAATAGGGATAGGATTTCAATTAGAGAACTTACTAAAACATGACTTTCTATGAAGCATGTGCTCAAAAATCTTGCACAAAGACTCTTCACTTTGTGTGACACTTCTGCAGGTGCATTGTGCTTGAAGAACAGTCCCAAGGGTGCCTAAGTACGCTGCTTTGCAGTCATCACTTCCTGAGCAAGTGAGGTCCCGTTTGCCCAACATGCTGATGCAGGTTTCATCTTCATGGCACTTTCCACTTACACGAGGCCAGCATTTGGACTGAAATGTTCTATAGCGTCTCCTAGAAAAAGAATGAAGAACATAGAAAAGTTATGTCTGATTCATTCTACTGTCTTTTCTACTCTCGTTTTCCTCCCTCCCTTCCCTTCGTTCCCCTCTGTCTAATCCAATACAGAACCAATACATAACTAATTAGAATAAGTTATGCTCTATGTATATATAATATGTCAAAATACACTCTACTGTTATGTATATCTAAAAAAGTAAAAATTTTAAAAAAGGAAACAGTCCCTGGTAATGTATGATTAAAAAAAGAAAAGAAAGAAAGTAAAAGAGTGAAGAAACAGAATTATCTGAGAGATTTTGCAGCATCATTTTATCGAGTTTAACATGGTTTTGGAACTAGAATTTGGCCATTTTCTCAAACATCAAGTGATTTCAAACAAAGCTCTTGACCTTTCAAGTCAATTTTCCCACAGAATTGGTGCTAGACTATGTATTTCACATTTCTAAGCAGACTCTAATTAGCATTTACAAAATGTTTTGAGATTCCCTGGCAGTAAGAACAAAATATTAGCAGTTTACTTAATGGCTAAGAAAATCCATTGGAAATGCATCCATTCATAACTTTCCTATATATTGGATTCTTGCCATATTAGCTTTTAATAAAAGTCTAGATAATATTCAGCAATTTCATTTTTGAAACTTTCACAGTTCTTCTCTGTACAATGAAGGATATTAGTCTTCCAACTTAATATTTATCACCTAAAATGACTTTCTTCTGTTTCTTAAATAGATTACCGTCATTAGTGATGGAAGCCCTTAGGATACATGCCACAAGTGAGCTTATTGGTCCACAGAGGGCTACTTTGCTAAAAAGGAAAAAGCCACAGTGTTCTCAATAATGTCACATTTAAATAATCTGAAATATCACCTTTTCAGTACAATGGTGAAAGTTAAATAGTATGTAATAAAATTGAAAATTAAGAAAATACTACTAATTTCCTAAATGATTCTGAGGCCAAAACACATATGTTCCTTTAATGCAATTAATGGTTATGTATAAAATTATATATGAAATGATTATCTAAACATAAGTTTTTAAAGTATTGATAGTTTCTCAGGAAGTTGACAGAGTAAATATGAACTTGGGCATTTTAAATTTTTTTTTATTATTAATTATTTTTAACAAATGTTATTTTAAAAATTTGAGTTCTACTAAGTTAAAGTTGTATAATTTTTTTCATTCAGAAAACAGTAGTGAAAGTTTGCCAGAGTAATGCATTAAAAATATTTCATTAAAAATAAAACACTTTGGTACACAAATACCTAATTGGAAATCAACATTTTTAACATGGCAAAAAAAAATTTATATTAAAATTTTTATTTGGTTTGGAATATTTTGATGCATGGCATTTTCATTATCTTTATTTTCTTGATATTCTTAAATGTCTTATTTTGGCTTATTGTTCAGACAACAAAGTGTTTAAAAGACTAATTTTTAAAAATGGATTATTTTATTTTTGCTATTAATTTCCAGTTACATTGAAAAATTTAAGGAAATGTGGTCTAAGTAATATCTGTACATTAAGTATACTATATTCCTTTTATGACCTAATACGTAACTACATTTTATAAATGTACCATAACATTTAAAATAAATGACTTCTTTTAAAGTAGGTAGAATTATTTCTAAGAAAATACTTTTTTCACTGCTTTTTTAGTTTGTACATATGAAAATATTATGTGGTATAATTTCCCATAAGTTCCTAAACATATAATTAGAAGAAAAGTAATCTCAGCTTCCACTGGATCTCTATATCAGACAAGATAAATTAGAAATGACCTTTATATTGGCTCCTTTCAACTATTCAAAAATTAAAGAAGTTTCAAAACCTTTCCTGAATTGAAGAATATGGAACAAGAAATTTCATTTTAAACCCCAAGACCCTGATTTGCCCACATACAAGCTCTTCCATAAGAAAGGAAGTGATAAAGCATTTTCTATTAGGAGACTTTTTTTTCATCAGAATTACATTAGCAATAATTTAATATAAATGCTGGAAATCTCCCTAAGGCAGAATTTGCTTGGGAAAATGAAAGAATTTGTCTTTTCACATAGAATACAAATATTGTGTAATATTTCCATTGCCTCTATAAAGTATTCATTAAGGGACTATTTGCACATAGTGAAAGAAAATTGAAGACACATAGTTGTTACTCTGTGAACTAATCTGAGACAGAAATAATGTGAGAAGAGATATGTACATGCTCAATAAAATATAAAAATTAAGTACACAATTTTCAAAAATGAAGGGAAAATTATGAACTGAGTTTTTATCCTATTCCAGATCCTGTACCAAATACTTCAGAGAGGTACTTAAACATTAGAGACCTTGTAGAGAAAAACCAACTACCCTGTACCAGTCTGAGAAGGAGCTGTTACCAAGGGGAGGTTAATATGAGAGATTCTATCAGATTCTCAAGACTATAGCCAGGTGTTCCATCACTTGCCATTAAAATCTGTTAATTGATATGGAGGCTCAAAAATACCATGTTCTGAATGTTGTGTGCAAATGATTTCAGGATAAAAAGGTAGCATACATCAGTTCCTGGCACTAGAGTCAGGCAAAGCCAGGTACCCATCTATGGAAAAACATCTGATATTTTCATAGGGATTGGTGTCCCTTTGGTGATGGCTAGTTAAAATATTATTAGGCTCCATGGTTAGTGTGTATAGATAATAGATTGGTAGTTAGATAGATGATAGGTTGATAGATAAACGGATTTTTAGATAGAGTCTCTTTGTGATATGAGAAAAATAATGTGATCAAACATGCTTACATTTCTCTGATTTCAAAAGATACCAACATTTTTATGCACAACTAAAAACTGCCACAAGCAACTACATTAAGAAAAATATTTTCATGTCATTGACCTTAAGACTCATTTCAGATGCATCAAAATGTTAAAATGTATAAAAAACTTTTGCATGATAGAATCAATGAAATATAGTAGTTCACTAATAAGAACTTTTGAAATAACTCAGTTTAAAAACTCTAACTTGTACTATTAATGTGTCATATATACACAATGGAGTTTTACTCAGCCATAAAAAAGAATGAAATTTTGACATTTTCTGGTAATTGGATGCAACTGGAGACCATCATGCTAAGTGAAATAAGACAAACCCCAAATCAAGTGTTGAATGTGTTCATTCATATGTAGAAGCTAGACGCTAGACCTAAATAAGAAAGAAAAAAAAATGTAGGGGGAACCCATGAAAATAGAGGAAGAGGATAGAGAGGGAGGAAGGATAAATGGAAAGATGGAATTAAACAGACCAAACAATCTTATGTGTGTGTGTGTGTGTGTGTGTGTGTGTGTGTGTGTATATATATATATATATATATAGAGAGAGAGAGAGAGAGAGAGAGAGAGAGAGTAACACATGTGTATAGGTCATATATACACATATGTTACTAAATTAAAAAAAAACTATACATAGAAGAAAGACAAGAAAAAGTAGAGAAAAGGGACAGGGGGAGGGAGGAGGAGGTTATAGAGAAGTACTGGGAACTGAATTGGAGCAAATTATATTCCATACTTGCATAATTATATCAAAATGAGCACTAATATTATGTATAACTATGAGGCACTAATTTAAAAACACAGCTATTTTTATCAGTGACATTATTATTCATCATGATAAATAGTTAAGCCTTAAAGTAATGAGTATGCATTTTCATGACAAAGTTTTTAAATAAAACCCTTTTAAGAATCCATGATAAGTAGAAGAACATTTCAATGTTTTATTACTCATCTAAGATCATTACCATATATCTCATAGAATGTACATTATGAGGAAGTAGTTACCTTTTTGACAAATGTTTACAAAATCTGGAACTATTTTGCAGATTACTATGACTTATAGTAAGAGAATGGAGATAGAAGGCTAAATGAAAGCAATTTACGAAGAAATTTCAGGAAGCTGACATCATTAAATCTTCTAGTCTTGTCAGTGGTAGAAGCAAGATAAAAAGTATGGCAAATTTTGTTTTGAACTATTATACCATGAGCCAAATAAATTTTATTTCTTAAAACTCCTTCAACTATATCATCAATATTACAAATAATTTTGAATCATTCTGTTTCTTTGGTATTGTTGTTCTTTCCTGCATGTTCTTACTCCTGTCCTAGTGGAACTGTAGATTTATGACCATATAAGAGATAAATTCATATCTTGAACATACAACAAAATGTGCTAATGAAAAGAAAGAGGCAGAGGTGTTGTACTAAATTTATGGTTCCTGAGAGTGGTTATCTGCATGGGGGCAGAGTGAAAGTTTTAATAAAGGAGCCAGATCATTCATAACTCTGCTCAAAACCCTCCAGTACCTCTCCATTTTACTTATGCTAAAAGCCAAAACCTTGCAAAATCATTCAGGGCCCTAGTGATCGAGTCCTGCCCACACTTTACCCAATTTAATTTCTGGCCTCATTGCCTGTTGCTTTCCCCCTTGCACACCCCATCCTTACTGCTTTTTGACCTTGTCACTCATATTTCTTCCTCAACATTGAAAGAGATACAATTGGCTTGAGAACATTGGCTTGGTATCTCTTCCTTCAGATGTTTACTGAGAGATCCATTCATGATCTTCAGTCTAACACAGAGAGGATTTATTCTGAAGGTCAAATAGCCACCCTGACAAAATTCTAGGACATTTGGCAGCCTTACATAATCACTCCCCTCCCTCCCCCAAATTCTGAAACTGTTATACAAACCTGGAATGTTAACCGATTCATTAGTTCAACTTGAATATATAATTAAAAATATGATTTCCAAAATTTTAGATACTGAATTGCTTTATTATAAAAAACCTATTCTGCATTAAAATTTCAAAAAGGTCACTAGACATGTACCACAGATTCAAAACTATGAATTGTCTGGTTTTATTTACACCACAGTGGATAAAGGTGGGAACTCCAACTAATGTAATGGGATCAAGTGCTAGGACTGGACTGTAACAAATAAGGTGCCGAAATAAGAAAGTAAGGTATGCATGTTTTTACTCACCTGCATAATTCATCATTTCTGCAGCTGTGAATTACATTGAGGCAAGTAGGGGGTGGAATTATGTTCACTGCACATGGCTTGCTGTGAAGAGCTTCTTTGGACTGCTGACAAGGTATATCAGATTGAGCACAGTCACAAAAAGCCAACATCTGGGCAACGTTAAAAGGCATATTTTGATAGAAGAACCGTATGGCTGTTTGGCAGTGTTTCACATCACACAGATCTCCATTTGTTGTGCATGCTTTAAGGTAAGGGGCCAACTGTGCATTACACACAACATCCCCTACACACGCCTCTGTCACTTCCAAACAGGACTGGATCCCGTTGAATTCTGAAAGAAATGGATATGCTCAGGTCATGAAAAAGTAAACACAAAACCATACATTTAGAATCTGCAAAAATTGTGAGACATCTATGAACAAAATACAATGATGTGCCAATGTGCCATTTTTGGCAAACATTACTTTCTTTAGAGTAAGTATGAATATCCTGAGACCTGAGCAGTGTGCTATTTGAAGCATCTATCATCTATATTGGGTATGTATTGTGATCCAGAGTGATGGGAAATGTATTGGGCCCAAACCAAGTTGTAGTAGAAAATCTCTGAATCCAAGTCTCCAAAATGTAGACAATAAATTTTCAGAACTTGCATTTGAACTATACAGCTTATGGTGAATTAATTGGCTCAAATCAAAATCATCATAGTTCTGTTGCACATTACTGGAAGCAGATAGGAATCTCAAATAAAAGTCTATGTAATTCTTCTAGCCTATGAAGATGTTCACATTCTGGAAAACACAGGTATATGTGAATACTAGCCCCATCCTCACTACTACCACATGACTACACAAACATAATTGGCCCCAAACTATTTAATTTATGTAATGAAAATATCTATGAAACAATCAAAATCTAGAATTTGGTTTCAACTGTAAAATATGTCTCAGAACATACATGAATAGCTAATGAAAGGACAAACAATTATTGTGGAAGAAATTTTTTTATATTCGAAGTGTTACCCACATAATTTATTTTGTACTAACCTAACTTGAAGAAGTCTGATAACTATTTTTAAAGTATATTGTCCAGTTTTTTACAAGGCAGATCAAAATGATTACTTATAAACATTACCATGATAGGAAGGAGTAGTTAGATTCCATTTGAATGTATCATCCTCATTCATGTTATCTAGAAGGAAAACAAAGAAACTGTCTCATTATTTAATTTTTTCCAAATTTCCTTGGAGAATTTATAAATGAGCAATTGGGAAAAAAATACATACAAGATCCTATAACACTCATTTAACCACTGATATTGAAAATTAGGAGGGTTCAGAAGAAGAAAAGTAAACCTCTGAAACATCATTCATGTGAGTTAAACTGCTCTGCTTTGAGGATTCAATTACTTGATGATCTAAACAAATGCTAATTAATGACTAGACCATGTGCACCGAAGTAAGCAAACACTGTCTGGGGAAAGAGAACAGAAGGAATGTTGTCTGAACAACACCAAAATAATCCCATCCCAGTAAGTTCTTAATTAGATAGACATGAAATGTAAAAATTGTTTCCACGTCTGGTTACTTTAACCTCCAAGAGTTCTTGGGAATTATAATTATAGAACTGGAAAATCTCTTGAATAGAAGTGAACTCAGTTGCCATTGATTTCTAAAATCTTTCAAGAAATACCCATTGAGTCCTTCCTATGTACTGAGTCATGTCCTGAAGATGCAAATCTGCAGTCGCTGTCATTGAGCATCCCCAGAGTGTGTAAGGAAATAGAAACTAAAGCCAAATAAAACACAAGGAGCTCTAGTAGGTATATGCATAAAATGGGAAGGAAATAGATGACCAGAATTTTATTTTAAAACAAAAATTAAGTATTTTCCATTGGCTATTAAGATATTAACTTTTATGTAATGAAAATATCTATGAAACTTAATCAAAATCTAGAATTTGGTTTCAACTGTAAAGTATGCCTCAGTTGGCACAAACACCCTTTCATAACTAGTCTGTTCACCACCTGGCTATGTGTTCATTTTCCTTGCCTGACAGCCCACTGCACCTACATGATGGTACAATCAGGAAAATTCTTCCTATCCCAAATATGTCACAACCTTTCCAGACTCTGTGTGCTTTCCCATCAATTTTTGATACATATTTTTTTTCATTTTTTCTATTGATTGTTTACTCAATATTTCTTGTTGAGTCTACTTTCCTGTCTCTTCATGGAAGACCTGAAGTTCCTGTCTATGTCAGTTGTCCATCTTAAATGACATCCCAAACAGATCTCAGTGAGTCACATGGTTTTTCTATAAAATAAAAAAAGCCTGGGACAGACATCTGTTATGGGTTAATACCTCTACATGGGGACTTATAGGGAGGGTTGTTCCATGCATCAAAAAGTATTGAAGAAACTACCCTTAATGGTTAAGTACGGACTCATTGGTATAAACTGAATGATTGTACCCTGCCCCCAAATTCATGTTGGAGCCCTAACCACCAGTGCAGTTGTGTTTAGAATGATGTATCCAAGATGTAATAAGGTTAAATGAGGTCATAAGAGTGGGGGGCCCTATCTGATTTGGTTAGTGACCTTATAAGAAGAGACAGTAGAATTTTCTTTCTCTCTCTTCTCCCTCAGAACACACCAAGGAAGGGTCATGTGAAGACATGGCAGGAAGACAACTGGATACCTATAAGCCAGGAAGAAAGGAGCTCTCATCTAAAGCAGATCCTACTTGACCTTAATCTGGGATTACCAGCCTCCTACGAGAAAATAAAATTTATTTCTTAAGCCACCCAGATTAGTTTTGTTCTGTTGGTCTATTCAGATGATTCAATTGTTATATGAGTGGTTGGTATCCAAAATGAAAAAGAGCTGCATTTAGTATGGGAAAATAAATTTAATTTTTGATGGTGTACTGTTTTCATACGCAATGAATAATGTATTTCAATAGATTTTCTGCATATTAAATGCAGAACTCTTATTAGGTAAACATGCAAAATGATATAGTAACTTGTGTTTCGTGCACTCCAGCAAATGAACAGTGCTTATAAGAGAAAAATAGAAGTTTGTTTGCACACTCTCATAGCATGAAGTTGGTTGTATTGTCTTGACCTTGCATAAGTATGAGGCATTTGGAAAAGCTAATGTGCGAGGAACATTCACTTATTTTTTAATATTTTAATTTGTTCTAATTAGTTATGCATAATGGTAGAATGCATTTTGACACATTGTACACAACTTCTCCTTCCTCTGGCTGAACATGGAACATTCATTTAATAAAAACAACTTTTTTAAAAACTTAAGACAAAAAAAGCAGATTCCTCAGAATTTAAACAAACAAACAAACAAACAAAAGACCAGCTGAAGGAAGAATACTTCCTAGACTTTTACATTTTTTTCATATGATATATTTGCATGTGTGTATAAATATATATATGTATATAAACACACACACATACACACACATAAGTATATATGCTTTTCCCAGAGGATATTTTAAATAATAGCATAATTGTTGAGAAGAAGGTAAAGGACAATAAATTCTAGGAATAAACAGAAGCAGACACCAACCATCTGAATTTTGAAATAATATACAAATGTATTAAAAATATGCACATTTCCCTCAGGTATCATCAGAATTTCTCCCATACAATTACTCCATACAAATATTTCTATTTAAATTTTATAATGTGACAAAATAAGTTAATCATAAACTAATAGATACATTTCTATGAAATGATTAATTAAATTTAAGCAGAAGACTTCTTTCTCAGAGGATATACACTAACATTTAATATAAAAGAGATCCTCAGAGGAGACTGAACAGGGTGGAGTGCAAAGGTGCATGCTTGAAATCACAGCAACTGGACAAACTGAAGCAGGAGGATGGCAAGTTTGAGGTCAGCCTAGGACACTTAGAGATATCTTCTCCCCCAAAGTAAATAAATAAATAAAAGGGATGGGATGTGGCTCAGTATATAGTGCCCTTGAGTAGTTCAATCCTGGGGGGGGGGGCAGAGAGAGAGAGAGAGAGAGAGAGAAGAGAGAAGAGAGAAGAGAGAGAGAGAGAGAGAGAGAGAGAGAGAGAGAGAGCCTGAAACCATGGAAGAAAGAAGAAGATAAAAGGCTGGTATCTTGGAAACCTAGATTTTCTCCCAGCTTATTTTCCCTTTGTTGTTACCTTGCTGCTACCTATGTCCCATATGGAACACACCGTGGTTTCCTTAGAGAATGTTTATATCTACCTTGTCAGTTTTACAGCTTCCAAAATATTGTTCACCCATGTAAAAAAATTGTCCTTCTCTGAATTGTATGCTGATTATCTTATCAAATACTAATTTCAAACTCTTGCCCTGATATTCATCACTGATGTCAATCTTCTTCTCCACCTCAAATCTTGTCATTGTGCTGGCTTACTTCTGTGCCCTTTGGAAAAAAAATCTCATCTACCACCTTACTTCATAATTCCCTATGATCTTCACCTGCCCTCCAAATATGTCACACCAGTAATTCAACTCTAAACTTGACTTTTACTTGAATTTCTCTCTTTTTGATTACAAATATGAATTATTCTACTATCTTCAAAAAACTTCCCCTCATTTAATCTGTATATGTACCTCCGGGAATTTTGTCTTCATATTTCCTTCCAATCTTTTAAACATCTCCTGAATTCACTGACAGTTTCCATCCTAGATATATACACTAATAAGTGAACTTCGTCACTGTTATCCCCTCTTTATTTTCTTATTAGTTCCTCAGTGTAACTACAGCCTTATACATTTATACTGTTTAGTTTTCTCATAGAAACATCATATGATATGCAAACAGGTATCCCTGCAAAAATAAAAATGGCCCATAAAATTCTTCTAATATATAGTATTTCATATGTCCTCAAACATTATGCATTCAACTCAAGCTTACTATCTTACCATTTCCTTCATCATTCTCATAAGATGGACTTGATTCACATTTAATGCTGAAAGTAGAGCCTTTCGTTGGGAACCACTTTGAGCTAGAGGGTAGAGCTGGAAAATGTCATGTGCATTCCATGAGAGTAGAGACTACATCTCGCTGTCTTATATTTCCACTTAATGGCACTTGATAAGCATGATTCAAATGTATTGCATGGGTATTATTCACCACTTCATCCATGAATAATCAATTTTACCACCATCTCTGAATCATGCACATCAGCATACATATCTTATATTTTTCATCTTGAAAAAATCTCCTCTTTACAATAACCTTCTTTCAAAAAGTATCCTTAGTTTCTGCCTCCAATTTCCCTCCTCCTATTTCCTTACAGACTCTTTAAACTCCACCTTCAATCCTGTCATTGTGCTTTCCACTCCACACATGTTTTCATCAAGGTCATCTGTAACCTCCACGTTGTCAAATGCACTTAGTGTATTTTTGGTCCTGAATATCTGTATCACATCATGGAATCCTCTGGATCTTTCATTTCTCCTTTGGAAACTTCCTATACTTGACTTGACTTCCTGCCACCATTCTTCCTTGTTTTACCCTCTCTCTCTCTCTAGTATATCCTTCTAGGTTTTTACTGCTCCTTTCTCTTCTCCCATACCAGTGAATGCTGCAGCATCCCAGAGGTCATGCACCTATTGCTTTTTCTCTTATTGATCAACTAATATCAAAATATGTCCAAAATTTGATAGCATCTCAACCTGCTGCCAATCTGTTCCAAGATACCATGCATGTCTTCATTAAAGTCATCTAGTCCCATAGTCTTATATGCCATCTAGAAATGAATGATGACTCTCTCAGTATCTTCTTACTGTACAGATCTCACATCCATATGCTATATATAGAATTTAGACATAAATTCCGTTATGTATGATTTCCTACTAGATACCTTTGCTTAGATATCTCATAAACATTTCAGACTTAAAATGACCAGCTCTAACTCCCAAAGCCTCCTTTGTTCCCAACTAAAGCTTCTTCCAGGAGCTGTTCCTGTATTTGTTAATTAAAATAAAGCCAGCAGATCCTTATAAGTACTCAAGAAAAAAACTTGGGAGTCAACTTTGATTCTTTTTCTGAAGTTCTATAAGATCAAGTAATATCAAAATATGTCCAGAATCACACATTTTTCCCATACTGGATCATCCTCCATCATGTTTTGCTACCTTATTTTAAAAGCCTTCTACCTGGCTTTCCTA